TTGTTGTTTTAATAAGTTAAATTTAATTNGGGGTGCGCAAAAACTCGTATATTATAGAACAGATCCTCATTAATTTGCATTTTTATGATAAAATATAATGCTAAGGAATCGAGAGTTAAGAAAATCTTCAAATCATGATGCCTTCAAAAATAATAGATAAGTCGTTTTTAAAGGTTGTCTTTTACTCATTCCATCTTAATGTGAACTTTTACAGAAAAAACAACTCCTTCAGAACAATTGAATGAATTAACATGTCAAATTTGTTGATTAGACGATTCTTTAAACTATGACGGAGTCTACTATGAAGAGATATATTTTGATATTGGTTTGGTTAAGTCAATAAATTTAAACAAAAAATAAAAACAACAAGCGGAGACCAAAATGCGGGGCGAAGAGACAGAATGGCGGGAGGCTTGGTGACGTCACTGAGGCTGGGAGACCAGTTTTGCGGGGCCTGGAGGTAATTCTGCAAATCCTGAGGCTCAGAGGTCATTTTTGGGGGGATCATGGCACCTCTGCACCCCCTCCCTAATTGCATACTGCATATTGTTATTTGAAACCAGTTTTTAATTGTTAACAAATTAAGATATAGAGCCAGAGAAGGGGGGAAGGGCAATCATTGTTATCTAATGTTTTCTTAAAATGAACTTAAATATCATTCAGATATTCAAAACTAAATAATTCCCGTGCAATAATAAGTCAGCCTGGTCTCAAAAATTAATATAGGGAGGGGAGAGGGGGGGGGGCGAACAATATTGTGAGTCAGAGACCTGTATAATTGTCTCATTGGAGACCCACATAATTTCATTGTAGACCCCTAGATTTTCATTGGAAACCCCAAAATTTTTGTTTTAAACCCTAAACTCCAGATTTTCAATTGAGACCCCAGCTTTTCATTGATCCCGCAAGATTTTCATTGAAGACCCCAAACTTTTCAACAAAGCCCCAGATGTTTAGTACAGAAACCACAAATTGTTCATTTGAGACACCAAACTTTTTGTTTTAACCTAAAATTTTCAGATTTACAAAGTTTAAGGTCTCCACTGAAAATCTAAGTGTTTCCCATGAAACAAAATTGGGGTTCAAAAACTAAAAGTTTGGGGTCTCCAATGAACAGATAGGGGTGTGTGACAAAAAGTTTGGGGTTTGAACATCTGGAGTCTATTAGATCAATAGCTTGGGGTCTCCAGTAAAAATCTGGGATCTCAGATGAAAATATTGGGATCTCCAATAAAAATCCGGTAGTTTCAGATGAAAAGATTGGGGTCTCCAATAAAAATCTGGGGGTCTTCGAGTATACATTCATGAGGGTCTCCCTTAAAAGGGGGTTTTTGATAGTACTCCAATGATGATGATTTCTTCCTAGACTCCCACATTTGGCCTTTACAAAAATATTGCAAAACGAAAATTTAAAGGCCATAAACACGTAATTCCTTACGCGAAAATCTATTTAATATTGCAGCTGTAAAACCTAGACTATGTTGAAACTCAGACATAAGAAAACATTAAAAGTTTTGCCCAGTCCGTTTTCAAAGGAATTTTTCTAAAAAACCTTTCTAATATTTATGCATATATACATCTTAAAAATGTATATTATGCAAACTAAATTTGTTTCAAAAATGTCAAATCATAATTTAAAAAGTGGTCTTAACTGTCCAGTGTATATATTTGGGCCAGTTGACACAATGGTAATTGACAAAACTGATTCTTTGGCTTTCAAGTAGACACATGAGTCATCAAGATACAGTCCTTATTAGTATTTTCAAGTAGGTATATGCATTATCAAGTTAACCTCCTAATTAGAACTTTCAAGTAGGTATACCCTTCATCAAGTTACATCCTAATTAGTACTTTCAAGTAGGTACACACTTCATCAAGTTAACGTCCTAATTAAAGTAGACATGCTTCATCAAGATAAAGTCCTAATTAGTAATGTCAATGATGTACAGTGTACACACTTCATCAAGATGCAGTCCTAATTAGTACTGTCAAGTAGGCATACACTTCATCAAGTTACAGTCCTAATTAGTACTTTCAAGTAGGTACACACTTCATCAAGTTACAGTCCTAATTAGTACTTTCAAGTAGGCATACACTTCATCAAGTTACAGTCATATTTAGAACTTTCAAGTAGGTACACACTTCATCAAGATGCAGTCCTAATTAGTAATGTCAAGCAGGTACACACTTCATCAAGTTACAGTCCTAATTAGTACTTTCAAGTTGGCATACACTTCATCAAGTTACAGTCCTATTTAGAACTTTCAAGTAGGTATAGACTTTATTAAGTTACAGTTCTAATTACTACTTTCAAGTAGGCTTACGCTTCATCAAGTTACAATCCTAATTAGTACCTCATCAATATTTGTGTTTTAACGACCATTTGTGTTCTTATTTATTTTAGTTGTTTAAAAAAGTTACATTTGTTTGTTTTCAGAATTAGCATACATGTTCCATCTATTTCATTCATTTTCTAACTGAATGATCCAAACAATGCCTGCCTGTTTTCTTTACCAGTTAAGATCAACAATTTTCATTCGATCCAAAATTAGGCCAACAATTTCCTTAGGCCCAACGCAATTTCATAATATATAATATTTTCATAATTAATAATTAGTAATCTCTTCATTACAAGGAGGGCATTAGGGATGCAATAAATATAGGAGGGAATTTTACATTGCCAAGGCTTCTCAAGGCCATCTTGGGTCTTACAGCATCACGAGTGAAGCTATGCATATATCATGGATTCATTAGTGTCATAAGTTAGTTAAGTAGTTGGAAAAGTTGTTTCCTCAATAGCAAGATTTGTTCTCTGCTTTGCATGTTTTTTTTCACAAAAAAGTTAATTTATAATAAAAATAGTTAAATAATGCTATTTTTTTCAGTAAACTTTGTTAATTTTATGGTAAATGTTTTAGATTTTTAGCCCTATTCCATCTTATCTTATTTCCTTCTTAACAAGAATAAAATATTGTAGCTACACAGAATGACAAGAGAAATAAAAAGGACTAATTCTATATTGAAATCTATTTTACAACAGTTAGATAAACAAATTATATATTAATTGACTTTGGTTTTCTTGGATAGTAAATGAGAGATGACTTTCTAGCTCCTCCACAATATAATAAAATTCACATAATTTAAAAATTTTGGCTTAGTGCTTTGTTTTATGGATTTCTGGCATTTAAACTTTTAATGTATAGATTAAAACAACTCTAATATAATTGATATTATAATATATGCAAAAACAAATATACTATAGCTATATAAGCTTGGCCTCTTTCATTTCCAGGTTGTAATGCACTGTTTGCATTCCATGTGTAACAATTTAATTTAAAAAATACTTACACAAATAATCCTCAACTTGTTATCAGACAAACAGAATGTTACTGCTAGAGAAAAGAAGTATTCTGTTTCTCCTTCTTATTTCTCAGGAAAAGTTATTTTACATTAATTGCCAAAAGATTGCTTCAGGAATCCAGGTTTCCAAAGCTTATCAAATTAAGACATCCATTAAATTAAATCAAAATAAAAGATAAAATGTTATTATAACAATAACTTTAAATGTCCAAGTGCTGGGGGGAGGAAAGATCCTACACTTTTGGACCAAGAGAAGTCAGCCAGGAGTTCTGGAAAACCAGAAGTGTTGTTAGTACACGCAGATTCAGGTCTCCGGTTGAGGTAACTTTGCCTATTATCTATATTCAATTACATGATGACCTGTTTTTGACCTGTTGAAGTTGACAATGTCACTTTGCAAAAATGTTGATTTTCTTAATATTTTACCATTCACTTAAAGGTATTCTAAATTTCATAGCTAAATGTTATTAGTTAAGCAAGAATCCAATATACCAATGTTAGGGGGTTCCCCCCATTTTCATAAAGCTATTAAAGTTTGATTATAAATCTGAATTTCAGTGTGCATCTTCTCTTCGCCTGGGATCACTGTACAACTCTTTCCTTTACAGGTAAGTTTGCCATGCTACCAATTTCTTATGTATCTGTGTTTTTAAGAAAAAAATACTCCTGTTTAGAAAAATGGATTCTAAATTCCAGTAATTTATGATGATTTAGTTCCAAGTTAATTCTGAGATTCTTAGGGAGGATGGATTATGTGAGAAGGCCTTTGTTGATAAGCTGACACCAAGTTCACCATCTCCAGGAGAAAATAATTAACTTGGACATTGGTTTATTATGTGAGAAAAAGAAATTAATCATTCAATTTAAAGATTAAACTTGCTCTCTGTCCAATTCCTATGCAGATATTGTTTTGAGGAATCCAAGATGTATAAATAGGAGGAAACAATTATAGGATCTAACCTTCCTAGAAAATATATTGAAGATGACAGTTTTTCCTCTTTGGTCTAAATAATTAAATTCATCATGCCGGGTTGAAGTTGTCATTTTACAGAGGAGTCCCTTATTTTTATTCTATTTATGTTGTTGGCAAAACTCTGGGGAACAATGTAAAATTTGGATGTAAATTGCTTAGTTCCTGTTGACAATTAACTAAGGGTCACTTTCTCATGTTAAAGAGTTGCCAAATGGCAGTTGTCAATTTGCCAGGCAGTATTTTTACCACCTTAGCTTTAACCAGGTGGCCATTTTGCTTGGTTTCACTTTATTATTAGACACTTTGCTTTGCTTGTAACACATTGCCCAAGTGATAATCTCCCTCATTGAGATTTATACATAGATAAATTATTTTCAATTTTAGTGAAAGTTAAACATTGAGTCCTTATAAAGGTAAAGTTGTCCAAACATTGTTGATAATATTTCATTGAACATCACACAGTGTGTCTCACTAAACATAACAAGTTAAAGTAACTGTAAAATTATATAAATTATAAATTGAAACTTAATCAAGACCTATAAGACATCTATCTTGCATAATACTATGTCAAAATTATACCAAAATGAATATTTGAAAGATATACGTCCATATCATGTGACAAGAACTCCCTTCAATATAATTGCGGTATACTGGTCATGTGATAAAAATGGAGAGACATAACAATAATACTGCACTGCCATTGGTTGAGGTTTTGGTCCCATGATCCAGACGTGTAAATAATATTATCAATCATATCTATTAAAAATGAAAAAGTAGTAAATTCAAATAATAATTGTAGCAAACCTGAGTTTCTCAGGCTTTTGTTGTTTTCAGATTGGTTGTGTATTTGTTGATTATGATCTGTTTAATACTACAAATATTATACAAGATCTTAAATGTTTTACTATAATTTTGACACAGTTTTATATCAAATTCTTCAGACAGGAAGGTCAGATAGAACTCTTATAGGTCTCAATAAATTCCTGAGATTCTCAGGTTTCAGCCTATACCCCCTTTCATTTTTCCTTTACAGTAAGTAAAGGAAAAATTTAGTTATTAAGACATGTTTTATTTCATTATTTTCTTTTTGTACCATTTAGAACCATTCAGATTATAAATATCCCCTAATACTTAAAAAGGAAGGTGATAAAGAACTTAGTGACATCTGCCCAACAACTCATCCATATCCATTCCTGGAAGGAAGGAAATGCTGCCAGGAAATATTCTGAATTTATGATTATGGTGGTAAAGCAATTGATTAATTATTTATTCTATAATATTAAATTTGAATTTAGGATGTTGTAATTGTAGGGATGGATCGTCTTTATTTTTTTAAAAAAAAGATCGTTTGAAAAGGATGACAAAAAAACTACAAACTAAAAGATTGTTTTCAAAAACGATGGTTTTATTAAAAAAATCGGTTTTAAAAAACGGTCATTTATAAAACAATCGTTTTTAGTCAATTTCCAAATGATCTTTTTTAAAACAGTTGCTTTTAAAACCGATCGTTTTTTTATGAGTTCGTCATTTTGTTCCCGATTGTTAACAACAACCTTCCTTAAAGATTATTAACAATGACCCTTCGTTAACAATCATTAACCACAACCCTTCGTTAATGAAGACCTTTAACTTATTACTTTAGATCGTTTTTAAACAAATCCCAACCCTACTCTCTAGCACTAGAATTATATCATTTTCTTCTCAATATATTTCGCCAAAAACTTTGGCATCATCAGGAGTTTGTCCTGTAATATAACAGATATAAGCAAAAAATAAAAAATAAAAAAAAACAAAAAATACAAATTTTTCAAAATGAATATTGTAAAACACATAAAACTTTAAAGAAAAATTAGAAAACAGTACCTTACTCTTTTGAAGAGTATTGAATGACTGGAAAAGGATTGACTAGTTTATGGGCGTATGCAGTGGGGGAAGGGGGGGGGTTGTTGAAGGGGTTAGAATTCGTCAATAAAACGGTCAAATACATGAATTCGATCAACACTATAAGGTACTGTTGGTAATACATATACATACAGTTTAAAACAAACAAAATTAATTTTTTAAAAAAAAATATTGCAATTAGCATTATGTTTTCTTGTTCAGTCCTGACCTCACTGAGTTAAATTTCTGGATGTAGTATGACTCCCTGACCTCCCTGACCATCCTATCCCTGGACCTGATCTTCTCTATGGGAATGAAGGATAAATCTGCATAGGAGTGGCCAGGGGCACGAAAGTGTACACCTACAGGGGCCTGGGTATTTTCTTGTCCTAGCTGTGTAATGGTGCCTCTGTGACCCCTCAGCCTTTCTTTAGCCTCCTTCCCTGTCTCTCCTATATAAGGGGGGGGTGTTGAAGGGGTTAGAATTCATCGACAAAACGGTCAAATACATGAATTCGATCAACACTATAAGGTACTGTTGGTAATACATATACATACAGCTTAAAACAAACAAAATTAATTTTTTTTAAAAACTTATTTAACTTATTAAGTTTTTGTAAATAAAATATCCAGAAGTTTTAGCTCCCTCATAAGTTTTTAGGGATTTATCCTCTACAATTTAAATTTACTGCCTTAGTAAGGTATGTAAACAACATTTAAAAAATTGAATAAAAGAGGACATTCATAATCTTCTTCAGAAAAGTCCAAAACTCATATTTTCTTTTTTTTAAAACAGCCATTTTTAAAAACAATCATTTTTTTTTAAAAGGAATCGATCGTTTTTGAAAACAATCGAAAAACGAAACAATTAACAACCCTATCTGTAAGTATTTAATGTTGGTTACTTAATCATGTATTGTAAGAGAGCTGATCTAAGAGCAACTGATCAGTAGAAATACTTTAAAATTGAGACTTACTTTATTAAATAATGGAAAGTTTTTCGTTTTGGGCTCGTCTGAAGCAACCTAAGTCTAATATTATGGCATCATTAAGACACATAACTTTAGACCTCTGTTTAAATAATTGCACATGATTCAATTTTTGTTGAAAAGTAAAATAAGTCTTAAAACTGAATTCAGTGATAAAATTGTAGAAAAATCTGGAAAACCCATTGGTTGGTGTTACAACAGGGACTAGAGGACTACTAACCATCAACAGTACTTCATGCAGGTACAAGAATGCGGTGGTCTTAAATGATATGGTTGAGTTACAATAAACAATGACTTCTATGCTTTAAATTGTGTAAAAGAATAGGGTCGGAAAAACAGAAATATGAAATGCATGATCTACAATCTACAATATTAATACTTTAAGGCTTGTTTGACTTAGTCTTATTGTAATTAACACTAGTGGTGGCTGAAACAATTGACAGGACTGGGAACACTTAAGGCTGATAAGAATCTTAAAATGTAGCCCCTGTAACAAATGGGCACCTTGGGCTTTTTTTCAATTTGTTCCTTCATCATTCGTTGATGACCCATTTTGCTAGTTTATTTTTCGCAATTTTGTTTAGTTAAAAAGTCTACTTTTTCAAATTTGTTTGAGGAATGATTTGGAAATCCTTCATTGATTGATTGATTGATTGATTGATTGATCTATACAATGCAAAGGGTCATTAAATTTAAAATTGTTTATTTTTAAAAAGATGATTGTTTTATAATTTTCTCTGAAGAATTCAATTCGATATTTTTTGTTTGTTAATTTTTCTGAAAGACACCATGGTTTAGGAAGATTTACGATCATTTTGAAAGAAAACAATTGTGTGAACAAAAGATTTAAAAAATCCTGTCAAGAAATCTACTATATCTTAAGTCATCATTTTATAATAATCATATAAGATATTTACTGGAAAGAGAAGTACTTCAAAATGGAATTTTACTTGGCACTTTAACTAGTGTATGATCTCAGTCAGCTATGATCTAATACAACATCTGTGAACAAAAACTGAATCCTTTTTTTTAACATCCACTTAATAATATTCAAGTTGGATGAGTTATTACTTTCAACTACATACATATGAAATTTAACTAACTAGAGTTGAATCCTTTGTTCAGTTACCCATCAGTTGAGTGTGAAGTAAGGTATAAATGCTCTGTGAATAGTATCATTGGAAATCTGTTGCAAGTAAGTAATTAAATATAAAAGACTTCTGATTAAAAGTAAAAGTTTTTTTTTTAACCATTACACAGTGTATGTCAAGCAAAAAAAGTACTGTGTTCATCTAGTGTCAAAGAAATGCACATGAGGAAATAATTTTCCTTAAGAAATAGCACAATTTTGGACAAATTTAACTCTTGTCTTATCAAATCTAAATGTTTATATTTTCCTTTTGTTTACAATTAACAATTTTACTATGTACAGTTTTCATTTTAAACATTTCTATATATTACCATAGTACATTGTACATGATTCTTGATAATAAGGAATTTCACTTAGCAAATTTATTTTAAAATTACAGTAAATTATTGGTGGTAAGTTTGATCTTTTTCTGTGCATAAACTAGAAAAAAGTAAATTCATAGTACTTTTATGAAGTTACCTCGCTTGATTATTTGTTAGTTAGTGATATTTCAATTGGCATGTTCAGAACTTTGATGGTGCTTTGTGATTTTTCCATTTCTTTCTCAACCTTTTCATATTGTTGTGTGTATTTCATTGTTTGATTTGATTCTCTTATCTCTTGGTTCTCGTTTACTACATGGTCCTCAAATCCAAAATCCCCAAAGACATTGTAATGTTACAGTCGGTTAAAATCAGTGTATGAATCTTAATAATAAATAACATAATAACAATAAATTAGAGGCAATGTTATATTAAGATTGTATTGCAAAAAAAATGTAAAAAAGGTGTAAATGTTACAATTCTACTTGAAAGGTCAATTGAAGGACTCGCCACTTGACCCTGGCCTCTGGTTGCGACAATAAACACTGGACCCTGCCTAACACCAACTCTTTTGCAGTCTTTAGACTTTCTTTGGCCTCTGGCCATAAAGTGTATTCAATCAAGTCCATGCTATTAATAAACACCTCTGACAGTCAACATTAAAAAAGAAAAAAATGCCCTGAACCCATTCCTCATTAATAAAAATTTCAGATTTATGAATTTATATCCCAAGAATAAGGAAGTTTAATCTAGATGAACATTGACATGGATCCTGGTAGCACTTGGAATGTTAACACACTGTCAAATGAAAATGAGTGTCAACAATATTGTGAGACTGCAACTGAATGCAAGGTTATGTATTAGTATTTGTTTATATCATGGACAATTTAGATTGTACAAGTTACTAAACTTCCTCATCAAGTTTGTGATGTTTTCACTTCTAGGGTTGGGTATGGACGGGTAGTTGTTACCTGTATACTAGTGGAGTCACCATCAGGAATGCAAGGTAGAATTATTTACATATTATTATTGTAATATATTGTGATGTTATAAAATACTTTTCCAGGTCTGATTGGGTGGGAGGGTTCAAGTCCAGCTACATCAACATTCCATTTGCATGAATGTTCTTCTCTCTATGAATTTGGAATTTGAAATTCAGACACTTTTAATCTGCTTTAAAATGACACTATTAAATCAGGGGACATTAGATCCAAATCTAACCATTGGCCTATTTCTAACAGTGGGCACAAATTGAAAGACTGGGTTTTTAGAATAACGGCCCATATTGAGATTAAAAGTCGACAGTGAAAACTATAACCAATATTTTATTAAGCATAACAAGAATTTAAAATTCCCAATTTTAAACTATTTTCTGAAATTATTCTCACATTAAAACCCTTGATAGTTTTAAAGAAAATGTCAGGTTTTCCATGTTTGAATATATCCTAAATTGGAATCATTCTCGACAAAAACATGTCGTGTTTTTGAGTCAAACCCATTTTCTTGTTTCTGAGTAAATTAAAAAAAACTTATTTTCACAACTTATCTTATTCTCTCATATATATACTTGGAGATTTATCTTATACTCTCATAAATATACTTGGAGATTTATCTTATACTCTCATATATACTTTGAGATTTATCTTATACCCTCATTTATATACTTGGAGATTTATCTTATACTCTCATAAATATACTTGGAGATTTATCTTATACTCTCATATATACTTTGAGATTTATCTTATACCCTCATTTATATACTTGGAGATTTATCTTATACTCTCATATATATAATTGGAGATTTATCTTATACCCTCATTTATATACTTGGAGATTAATCTTATACTCTCATATATATACTTGGAGATTTATCTTATTCTCTCATATATATTTACTTGGAGATTTATCTTATACTCTCATATATATACTTGGATACTCTCATATATATACTTGGAGATTTATCTTATTCTCTCATATATATTTACTTGGAGATTTATCTTATACTCTCATATATATACTTGGAGATTTATATTATACTCTCATATATATATATACTTGGAGATTTATCTTATACTCTCATATATATAATTGGAGATTTATCTTATTCTCTCATATATATACTTGGAGATTTATATTATACTCTCATATATATATATATACTTGGAGATTTATCTTATACTCTCATATATATACTTGGAGATTTATCTTATTCTCTCATATATATTTACTTGGAGATTTATCTTATACTCTCATATATATACTTCCAGATTTATCTTATACTCGCATAGATATACTCGCATATTTAAAAAAAAAAAAAATTTAAATTTTACTGGAGATATTTTTGATTTTTTTTTACTTAAAGTCATATTGGAATTCGAATTCGAATTTTGATTTCAAAGAAAATCTTTTTCTTCTTAAAGTTGTTCAGCTTGGCAATACTAATCCTATACTATTCAAAAATATTGATATTTCGAAAAATCGACTGTTTCTCAAAATGGCTTATTATTTCATGATTGTTTTACCTATCTATAATAAAGAACATTTCTCTAATGCTCCACTGCAAGAATTACCATTTTGTCTGAAGTTCATGTTTCAATATTAAGAAAAGTAAAAACATTTCAGCAGCCTTTTCGTCTAGTGACCCTGGGACCCCCCTTAGTTTGAAGAGTGAAAAAAAGAATTTAAACTTGTATCTTTACTGATTATCTAGATGTGTAAAAGCAGCTTATAATCATTTTTTATGTTTATTCATAATTAAAAATGTTTAATTTGCTCATTTTGAGAATATCCAATTAAGTTTCAAAAACTTTTAAACTTTGCACAACCCTTCTACCCCAAAAAAAGTTGTTTGGCTTTTTTTATCATAAATATTGTTTAAATTTGTTAAGTTGTTAAGTTTAAATAAAATAAATGTTTCTATTAGTTTTTTAATTTGCTGTTAGTTTTTTAGCTTTGATTGTAGAAAGAATTTAATAATAAAATTTGAAAAAAGATTTGACACAATAATTAAATGCTTTTATCAAAAGATTGTCAGCGGAAATTTTAATGAATCTACATAGACCAGAAGGTACCAGTAATTTTCAGTAAATTTCGTAAATGGTAGGATAACACTAGAACAGTTGGTAACAGTAAATATATAAATGGTAGGATAACACTAGACCAGTTGGTAACAGTAAATATATAAATGGTAGGATAACACTGGACCAGTTGGTAACAGTAAATACATGAATGGTAGGATAACACTAGACCAGTTGGTAACAGTAAATATATAAATGGTAGGATAACACTGTACCAGTTGGTACCAGTAAATACATGAATGGTAGGATAACAATAGACCAGTTGGTACCAGTTAATATATAAATGGTAGGATAACACTAGACCAGTTGGTACCAGTAAATAAATAAATGGTAGGATAACACTAGACCAGTTGGTAACAGTAAATATATAAATGGTAGGATAACACTAGACCAGAAGGTAACAGTAAATAAATAATTGGTGGGATAACACTAGACCAGTTGGTAACAGTAAATATATAAATGGTAGGATAACACTGGACCAGTTGGTAACAGTAAATATATAAATGGTAGGATAACACTAGACCAGTTGGTAACAGTAAATATATAAATGGTAGGATAACACTGGACCAGTTGGTAACAGTAAATATATAAATGGTAGGATAACACTGGACCAGTTGGTAACAGTAAATACATGAATGGTAGGATAACAATAGACCAGTTGGTAACAGTAAATATATAAATGGTAGGATAACACTGGACCAGTTGGTACCAGTAAATACATGAATGGTAGGATAACAATAGACCAGTTGATACCAGTTAATATATAAATGGTAGGATAACACTAGACCAGTTGGTACCAGTAAATACATGAATGGTAGGATAAGACTAGACCAGTTGGTACCTAAATAAATGGTAGGATAACACTAGACCAGTTGGTAACAGTAAATATATAAATGGTAGGATAACACTAGACCAGAAGGTACCAGTAAATATATAAATGGTAGGATAACACTAGACCCGTTGGTACCAGTAAATATATAAACGGTAGGATAACACTAGACCAGAAGGTTCCAGTAAATATATAAACAGTAGGATAACACTAGACCAGTTGGTACATAAATGGTAGGATAACACTAGACCCGTTGGTACCAGTAAATATATAAACGGTAGGATAACACTAGACCAGAAGGTTCCAGTAAATATATAAACAGTAGGATAACACTAGACCAGTTGGTACCAGTAAATTTCGTAAATGGTAGGATAACACTAGACCAGTTGGTAACAGTAAATATATAAACGGTAGGATAACACTAGACCAGTTGGAACCAGTAAATAAATAAATGGTAGGATAACACTAGACCAGTTGGTACCAGTAAATATATAAACGGTAGGATAACACTAGACCAGAAGGTACCAGTAAATATATAAACGGTAGGATAACACTAGACCAGTTGGTACCAGTAAATATATAAACGGTAGGATAACACTAGACCAGTTGGTACCAGTAAATAAATAAATGGTAGGATAACACTAGACCAGTTGGTACCAGTAAATATATAAATGGTAAGATAACACTAGACCAGAAGGTACCAGTAAATATATAAATGGTAAGATAACACTAGACCAGTTGGTAACAGTAAATATATAAATTTAGGATAACACTAGACCAGAACCTGTATAGCGATTAAACCTAACCACTCTTTATCACTAACTAACTGCACTTGTAGTTAACAACGTATAACTTGTAATAACTTTCATTAACTTAAATTGTATCATAGAACTCATAATAAACGTTAGTTGGAATAATACCGCGATTTGATTACAGTGTGAGAGTAATTTTTTCGTCGTTTAGTGAAAATGAGAGAGGAACCTGGGGTTCAAAATTAAGTTGTATTTTGCTAGACAGATACCTGAGAATACAGAAACAGTCATATCTGGATTGATAGATTGATATCGACTAAAGTATCATTGAGGAATCTCCAGTTCGAGATTAAGTTACATCTTTACAATACAGTGTAGGAAATGCCCTACTCCAATAATTCCATTCAGACCCTTAATAATCCAGGTAAACTCTATCTAGAACTCCAGGTATCTATGTTTCATGATACAACTCAATCCCTCTCGATAATTCACAAGGCATAGAACTATTCAGTTCTGTAATACGGTACCAATCCAGGCATATACTTCCATATTCTCAGGTATCTATGTTTCAAGATACAACTTAAACCCTCTTGTTAATTGAGGTATAGAACTATTCAGCTCTTTAATACGGTACCAATCCAGGTATATACTTCCGTATTTTCAGGTATCTATGTTTCAAGATAAACTCAACAATACTTTTGTATCAAATTCAATCCAGATACGATTTTATCTGTATTAATACTTTTCTATCAATGTCAATCCGGACTTAACTTTATCTGTATCAGTTACCATCTTATATCTGTCATTCAAAAGATTCTTGTTTGCTATCTAAAAAGTCTATTCCAACTAAATGTATTTTGGTTTCTATCTTACATGTTAAGTTAATCAACGTAATTACAAGTTTAATGATGCTATATACCAGCGTAGTTAAGCTGACTACAATACAGGTTTGATGTAGCTAGGTTAGGTTAATTGCAATACAAGTTTTGCGTAGCTATTTACAAACATAGATAATTAATATTGTACTACATAGTTCAGATTTACAGATATAGTGTTACACAATATTCATTACAACAGTATCAAAGAATCTCCAGTCAGTGATTGGTACTGAGGAATCTCCAGTTTGAGATTAAGTTGTATCTGTACAATGCAACATTGAGGAACATTGAGTTCAAGATTGAATTAAGTATCTTGTAAGGCAGATACCTGATAAGTTGTACCTGGATTGATGCGGATCTAAAAGGATTTATTGGAGTAGGGCATTTACTACAGGTATTTGATATTGAGTTGCAGAGATATAGAAATTATAAAATCAGAGTTTGTGGCTGTTTCTCAACTGGCGATGCCCTGGGTTATACAAAAATCAAGTACCGTGCTGAGTTTCTTTGGGCCGAACCGTAAGCACCTCTACTCTCATTAATTTTCATGATGAATTAAAACACAGGAAAAGGCTTCAATTTTTATTGTGGAATGGTACTTCAGTCTAGTAAAAAAAAAAATTTTAGGATCACAGAAAAAGCATTGATGAGCATAATATAAACCATTTCTCATTGAACAAACGATATTACACCCATCAGGCATTAAAAACTGTAATCAAGCCAATATTCAACATATATATATATCACAAGAAACATAAAGAAATATTTTAATATTTATAATCATAATTACCACAGTAGTCCGCTGATTTCAGCATGAAAATAATCACAAAAACATTTTATAATATAACTAATTTAAATCCTACGAATATATACTGCAAACTGTAAATAAAGAATACGAGTCTTTTGTGTCTGCGCAGTATGCAAAATGCTGTCGGCAGAAAACAGGTTCTTTATTTCCAATTTCTTCTAGAAAACGCTTGTACAGAACATCTTTACAGTACAGTTGATAATAGGTCCTCCCCAGAGAACAGGGATATTTCACAGACTCTAAATATGCTGCGTATGCTAGCGTAACAGCGGCACAGCTAGAATCAATTTCTTTGAACAAATTTCTTTACAAAGATATATATAGGGATTAAAAATAAGAGATTGTGGCAAGAACTCACTTTTAGGACTAGGGCCAGGCACTCATTAATGATTGTTTTAAGAATAATACTTTTAATATCAAGTTGACAATAAAATGAAGTCTTTGTCAC